ATAAAATAAACAATTATTATTATTTGTAATATATTTTATTCTTACCAAAATTCCACAAACTACAGAAATCTCAAACGCGGTCGGCAAAACGTGAAAAACAATTGAAGAAAGCAAAAAACTTATTCCTCTATATATTAAAATAATTCATTTGATTAAGAAAACATTTCCTTTTAAGTGTTTATCAAAACTTATCCAATTCGTATTTTTTCATAATTATAAAATAAAACCAAGTATTTTTTCTATGTATCACCACACATACTTTGTTCCGCGATCAATGGCTCTACTTAATCCTCCTGTTTGTCTTGATAAATGGAAATTTAAATCCAATCGATGCAAATGATAAAACACATTCTTTGCTACTTGTCTAATTGCCTTTTGAGCCACGTTGGCAAATATTGCATTACGAAGTTCCTGAGAAAGTGTCCCACAACCCCTTGCCAAACCATCTTATTAAATATAATTTAAATATTTCCTTATTTATATAATAAAATTAATCAATTATAATTATTTTTTATATTCTTACAGCCAATAATCATTGCACCAGCAACTGTCCAAACTGTTCCAAATTGACTTGCATCCATATTTAGAGAATCAATAATATTTTTGAACAAGAATGGAACTTGAACATTTAAAATCTGTATAATAAAAAAATCACGTTATAAATATTATTTTATTATATGTGTAGATAAAATCTATGTAAAATATTTTTTAAAATTACCTTTCCGCCTACTAACAAAGATATGTACCTTGTCCAATTTTTTATAATATGCCAATCAGCAGATGATTGTAGTGCTGATTTTGGAATTGTATCGGTGGCAGCAGGAGGTCGAGAAACAGGATTTGTTGGTAATGGTGATGGAGATTGTTGTTTAGTCACATCTTTTGAAATTTTAAATGAAGGTTTTGTATATTCACGAATAATTTGTTTAAATGTCTTTAAATACTTATGAAACGTTCTTTTATTAGATTTATAACCCAAAGTATATATGTGTGTACATATATATATATATATATATTTGAATTCTTACTAATGCTTCTTTAGTTCTTAAAGGTTGTCTGATTATCACCCTA